TCCTCCTCCCCTTCCCTTTTCCCTCACCATCATCTCCCTCTTCCTTCTCTTTCTCTCTGCATTTCTTCTGCTTGAGATCTGCTAAGCTTTCCTGGAGCTAAGTTAGGTTATCAAAGTTTTAGTTGATACCAATGTTCCTGCCTTACCACAGGTCTGAGGAGAACAACAGTTTTCCCCTTAAAGAAAGGAGTGGAAACTCTTGTTGTGAGAAAGTAGAATAACAAGTTCAGCCAGGTGAGTCCTGAGGTTTGCAAGAAGCTGACCCTGGCCAAGTGGAGCTTTAGCGGGCTGTTAGAAGATGGTCACTTTTCAGAGAGAAGCCTTGAGCTGTTCTCCATCTTTCCCTGGCTATGGAACTCAAACAGCAGAGATCAATGGATTTTAGGAAAATTGTTATCTATTGTAAAGTTCCTTTCAAATCCTATAAATGAACTCTATTTAGCAAAGTTGCTACTCTTGTACATTAAGAACAGCTCCAGCTCTGTAGGACAGCTTAGACTCCTATGTTGTTGTTCTTGTTTCTTTCATGATAACATTTAAAATGCTCAACTGTTGTGATCGACTATGATTAAAATGGAAAATTAGTATGCTAATCTCTCATGGGCTGGGGTATTGTACTTATAACTTGGGCTGAGTTCAACATCTAGTCTAACTCATGAAATACAAGGGCAGCCCGAAATGTGTCTAGTGCCACACAGTTTCTTAAATTTTAAAGTGCATTTCAGTGAGGGGAAAGGTTGGAGGGGTGTGTGAATGTGGCCGCAGTGTACTCTGTTTATTAAATGAGTGGTTCAGACATGTGAGTTAAGGGCAAGGATGATGCCGTGTGCTGCACTGTAGATAATCTTTACAACAAACATAAGGAGATGATTATCATTTCTAACCCCGAGCCTCACGTAGGGTAATTAATTTGTTTGTAGTTCATGTGAGAGCTACAATCTGAATCTAGCTCTAACTCTGTGAAGGCCATATGCCAAGTTTTTTGACCTCTATCCAGGAGGTACAATGATGTGGCAGAGTGTGACCAGGACACAGCCCAAACTTGCCACATCCTTCTATCAACATAATTCTACATGGTGGCATTTTAAAATGCCATCTTGTGTTAAATCAGATGTGGATGTGATACAGTATTGGCTATGGAATTTGAATGATTTCAAATTCAGGTGTAAAATTCAAAAGAAATTTTGTCTTTGAGAGGGGCCACGTTTAGCTTGACTTCCAGGTGATGGAAATCATTTTCTTCTTGGGGAAGAGTTGCTTAAGCGAGGAAAGTCTGAGGTACCAAGACCTAGGCCAGGAAACTACTTTGGATTTTTTCAGGACTCAAGTTTTCTGTCACAGTCCAAGCGGACGATGCGGGGATGGGGCCTAAAGTCTCTGGAGTACGGAAGCCCTTTGGTGCTCGACCTCCAAATGTCAATAACGACTTCTTATTTTGCAGAAAGCCATTATTGAAAACCGAGCTCTGTGGATGGCCATCAAAAGATGTTTTGGTTATCGATCAAAAAGCCAGTATCGGGTATGGCAGCGGAACTTGGCAAACGACTCCAGCTGGCCCCCGCTCAACCAAGTGTCCTACTCCGATATGCCGGGGTGTGGCCGGGCGGTTTCCTACAGCAACCCTGTGTTTGAGAGCAACGGAGAGCAGCTCTGAAGGAACTGTGAGGCCCAAGTTGATGTGGTGGAGGAACAGGAAAAGGGGCCTGGGTCAAGTGATGCTAACGCCACGAGGCTCTGACCATACAGGCTGGAGTTGCGGGGAAACCTGTCAAACCACGGCGACAAAATTAAAGACTGACAAAATATTTCCTGCAGAGAAAAACGCTGCCCCCAAAGAGTGCTTTTCTCTTGGCTTCTGAGAATTAGAGGAAGCTAGTGAACCAGGAGCGGGCCAAGGATTGAAGTGGCCCAAGAGATTGGGATGCCAAGGGGAAAAAATGTGTACTCTGTCTCTTTTTGTTGTTTTGTTTTTTCAGTGCTAGGCCCTTGAATACACTACATAAGCATGCTGTAACACTGAACCACAGCTTTGGCTGTGTAATCTCTTTTTTCTTGGATAATATTCCCTGTATGAGTGGAGGGGGGAATCATACTATGTATATGCCTAGAATTGTAACATGTTAAAGATCAATTTTAAAATTTTTACTTCACTGTTGGAAAGTTAATTCATGGGAATCATTGGGTCAGTTTTCACTGTCTGGTTTTCTTTCTTGGTGGTGTTGTTCAGATTTCGAGGATTTTTCTTCTCTTTCTGCCTTTCCCTGCATGTTATCAAGGATAAACTGAGCTTATACTGCAATGACAACCCCCCCTAGCTCAGAGCTCTAACAGGCTAGAGCTTTATTGCTCCAGGTGTCTCTAGAACAGCTGTCTTCAGAATAGTGATGGCTTTGGTCTGGGGCTCCACCATCACAGCCCAAGGACTCTGTGTGTGTGTGTGTGTGTGTGTGTGTGTGTGTAGCATGCCAGGGAAGGAAGACACTACTGAACACATGAGTGATCAAGTGACAAGTGACACCCCGTGCACCCCTTTTCTGATCTCATAGGAGGGAATTTAGCTAAGGAGCTTCGGAATGCAGGCTCTGGCGCAGAGGGCTGCTTCTGAGGCATATGACTTATGACTATACTGAAGCTCCGGCTTACCAGGCCCTCTCACAGGGCTCAAGGCTCTGCTAGTTCCATTTTGCAATTGTGAGCAAGAACCCTCACAGCTCTCAGTTTACACCACGTCCCACAGATGAAATAGCTGTCAGGCTTTTAAGTCACACCAAGAGAGGAAGGCAGCTTCTCTAGGAGCACCAGTGTGTCTCCTCCTCTCTTCTCCTGACCTCTTTCCTCTCCTCTTGCATGCATGACCAACTCCGACTGTTCTCTTGCCTCTGCTACTTTGGAGAAATGTTATTCTTGTACATTCTTATTCAATACTTTATATTTTATTATTTTCCTTTGTGTTATGCATGGATTTAATGCATAATGATGCCATTAGTAATCCCTGGTACATGGGCAGGATGCGCCTTCGTTCTCTGTGCCACCTTTTCCACCCTCCCCTCCCGTCCATCTCTCAGCTGCCCTTGTTTTCACAGAACTTCCATCTCACTGTTTCCTGTTGTGTGTCTTTTATTTTGCTCTTTTGTTTATTTATACTTTGGACTTTTCATGTGACAGAAACCGTGAGCTACTTAAACTCCTGGGTATGATTGCCTTAACTTACCACTGTAGTCTTGTGCATTCTGCACTATAAACCATCCCTCATTTAAATCCACTCACAATTATTACTTTTCTTTAGTTTAGGGGTTAAGTTTCTGGAGAACTAAAACTTCCTATGTTGTCACTGTCGCAGCTTGCTTCTATTGGATTAATGTGGCATAGAAAACACCCAGGTTTCTGATAGGTCAGTCAGTAGCCAGCACCAAATTCTCAGAAACTAGCTACATCCACATAGTATTTTAAAGTAAAGCACAACATTCATTATGAACATGCATTGCTGAAGTGAACATTGTGAGCAGAGGGTGGCTTTTCTGGCCCAACTGGGCTTGGCTGCTTACTAATAGCATTTGCAAGCATTCCTTTCCCCACGGAGCTCTTGAGCAGGGCTGCTGGGTCAGTGGCTGCGGCTGATTTGGGGGAGACAGTGTCTCCTAGCTACAAGGTACCTTGTTGCCTCTGTTTCTGCTTTTACAATAGGGCACAAAGCTATTGCTGTCTCACATCAGTAGCATCATTGTCTTCCTCAGCGTGGAAAGCAACACTTCCATTTACAGTCAGCTCTGGCAGCGATGTGACTGCTCATGTATGCTGTGCTGTGAGCCATTTCTTAGAACTGATACTGTCCCTCATTCTCCCCGAAGTGGAGGGCCAGCTAGTGGCAGTCTGCATCCTCCTTGTGAGCAAGAGTGATGTGTGCAGTTCATACTTCAGCGAGTCTTTCACCAAGTGGAGTCTCCTCCCCTCGCTTGCTGGAGTGACCCACCCAGCTCTGGTACTTGACGAGGAAGAGGAAGGGCTGATCATTTCCTCCACGGCAATGACGACACTGAGATTCAGGGTGATGAGAGCAGACCCTGGCCTCAAACACAGATCTGGGCAAAGCTTCGTGCTCCCCAGCAGCTCCTAATTCTGAAGCTCCAGCAGGGAAGGAGGCTCAGCGTGATTACACAGTCAAACAATATTTCTTATTTTCCAGGTGGTGAAAAGAACACTTTACTAAAAACGGGACATCTGTTCAAATAAATGCTAGGCATCTTGCCAGGTCTGGACTAAAGCTATGCTAAAATCATAATAAAACATAACCCCAACATGGATATCTGTTGGTTTTTTCAAGAGTCTGGGTTACTGTTGTTTTGGTCCTCTAAGGTTTCATTCTCAACAATTGACAAATGGAAGCAGGGTTAGAGGACTCTGGTTCTCCATCAACCACAAGCTCTGAAAATCTTTGCCAGAAGGGACACATCAGAAGACTGTGTTCTTGGGACTCATCAGATCTTAGAAGCAGAAAGTGAAAGAAGAGGGAAGACAGCCTGGGAAGTTCACCAGGGAACTGTGGGAGTCACGACTAAAAACTTGAAGGATTTCACAGGAAAGATCAGAACCCGCTGGACAGCAGCATTAGTAAAGACCGCGTGGGAGCAAACCCAAGCAGACATGAAGACCACGGAGCTAGCAGCCAGCTCTGAAGCATGGAAAAGCTGACAAGTGCGACGTCTGCGACATCGCAGGCCTCTCTTCTAAGATGGCTTAAAGAAGGGAGACAAGGATCAGCTGAAGCCCACCCTCCGGGCTCAGTACCTCAGCATTTCAGTTGTGCACTGTGATGTGAGCCGTTTCCTACAGAGGCCCACACAGAACACCAGACGATGGCTGTGGGGAGATAGATTGGAGAGAGATCCTCCTAGCTCACAGCATGGTGCAAACATACAGATTTGGTGCCTTGTGCTCTAGGAGGGAGCTCCCAGGGGAGTCCAGAGTCTAGCCACAATGCTTAGAGTGAGGAGTCGTGAATCCTATACTGACAGCTGGAAGAATATTTCAAAAATGATTTTTCTTTTTAGAAAGAAGGTTTTGAAAACTTGGGGTAATGAAGCATAAGGAGTATCTCAAATGTGAGTGTAGAGCTACCTGCTGAAAATATACCTTCCTCCCGGCCAGGACTTGGTCGAGATTCCTCCAGATCCCCCAGGTCTTCAGTCCCACGCACCTGACTGCTCTGCGCTCTCTGCTCCACAGATGTGAGGGCCTGAGGACCGACGGCCTCCCTGTTCTCTTGCACTCACGGAAGTGTGCATTTAAGCCCTTCAGATGTGGCAATGGCAAAGGGATTATCTATTCAGAACCCTGTACTTAGTTTATGTTATAATAAGTTATTCTTTACAAAAGTGGCAGGTGCAATCTGCAATCGTGTTTTCTAAACTGTCTGTCTCTGTCTCCTCTCCCCTCCTTACAGTGAAGTCTTTTACTCTAACAAAATGAGACGGTCTACTCCAGTAATGTTGAATTGAAATAACGTCTTTACAAGATTCCAGGCATGTGTTGACACTACAGATGGCATTATTTTCTGCTTTGTATGCAAGTCTTCACCATCTAAAAACACTTACTTGTCCTCTCATTTCAGCCTTGTATCTTCAGAGGAAAGCATGGCAAGGACTAGTATCCCCCTTTAATGAGGTGCCAGACCCTCGTCTCAGCGTATTGCTAAGGGCTCATGGCTGGTGGTAGAGGAGAGGCCTACGATGCAGAGCCATCAGCGAGTTCCCCTGCTGTGTTGTTGTTCTGTTTTTTCATAAATGAAAAGTTTCTAGTACTGATCCAGAAGCCAGTTATCAGCTGCAATTGCCACAGTGGGTATAATTTCCCCTAGACAGATTTTAGATTCTCATAGAAGTTCCCCGGAACCTGCCCATCAATCCCAGGAAAGGCCAGCTCCCACAGCTGAGGGTATGGACCCTAACACGATGTGCTATGAACCTGTTTCATGAGGCCACATGAGGCTCTTGTTTCTGACTGCAGCAACCAGAAGCAAGGACCTGTATGTCTGGTTGAAATTTGTCCAGGGCCCGCTCTGTATAGCTTTCCAGAGTCATATAAATTCTAGTCTGGTTTCCCACTGTTATCATCCATGTGCATGAAACAATTTAAAGCTCCTATCTCATACAACATCCGCTCTGCCTCTTGGTTTCCCTAAGAGTTGTTGAACTCATCTTGTTAACTTTATCAATAAAACAATGTTCCTCCGAATTGGACAAACATACAAATAAGGATGCCAGGATGCAGCTGGGCTGGAGCTGCTAGGAGTGATCCTCCTGGCTTCCCACACACCCAGAGGCTGTGACACCCTAGAAGACTGCCCTGGCCACCCCCTCTGCCTTGAGGCTCTGTCTGCCAGCCCCACACCCACAGCTGCTTCCTCCAGGAGGGCTTCCCTGACCATCCTATCCACTGTTGGCCTTCTGCACTAGCTTGGGTTGTTTTTCTGATCTTATTTGTGCAGCTCTTCAGGTGATGGAGACTTGAAATGAACTACTCATTTAAGATTGCATCCTTAGGAAATCCCTGGGCTGAGTCTATAACCTGGGGCTACTGACGTCTACATCAAGGTTTTTCGTACTCTTCATTCCTGACCAGATTCTGCTGAACAAATTAGTGAATCCGAAAAATACTGAGCATTGCAAAACCTGTGTACAGTGAATGTAAAACTCTCCAAGAGGCCTCTAGACTCTCCCAACACTGTTTATTTTGGTTCTTTCTCTGCCCTTGCCTCCTTCTCCTTCATGTGCTGGCTCCACAGACATTCGGAGGAGTCACTGTCCTGCGACGAAGGCTCACTGTGGAGACTGTGAAGTTGGAAGTTAAGTTATGGAGGGCTGGACTGCAGGGAGGAGACCTTATACGGTGTGTGTGTGTGTGTGTGTGTGTGTGTGTGTGTGTTGTGCATCCATATTGCATTGTCACAACACAAAGTGGTGGTTCTGTGTGGTGTCAAAGAGGCCTTGTGGGTGAGAGTGTTTGCTTCTGCCCCCACAGCACAGGGATGTGTAGGGGCAGTGCCCGCCACCCCATTTCTACTCAGGTCTCCAGTCCCTGAAAGGAGCCTTTCTTAGTACTGTCCTATTCTGCAACACTTGGTCACTGTCTGGTGACTGCAGGAGC